TTGCAATGGGATCGTGAAAATAACCTGCTGCCTGATGTTGCGTCATTCCCGGCGAAAAAAAAATTTTTTCGCTTCTTTTCGCGTTCATGTTGCTACCTTCTAATGGAGCTCAGAACTTCATGGTGTAAGCCTACTTTTAGGCAAGGGTGGAAGAAAGCTCTATGTCTCCTGACGCGCCAAGTTGGACACTCACTCGGCTGAAATGAAGAGAAATGTGAAAAGCTGTGTCCCTCTTTCTTACTTACAAACAATGGTGGCATATTTATTGCTGAATACACATCGATTCACCACTTTCGATCCACCAATAGGATCAAATTCAATCGAGCATGCATAATTTTTTTTTTAAGTCAGTTTTTCAGACGATTCCTATCTTTCTCGGGTGATGCCGACTTTCTCGCCGTTGTGCAGTCGCGGAGCGGCATTTCCTGTCTGAGAGATCTTGATGATTTCCACGGTCTTTTCGTTTTGACTGGTTCACGAGGACTTGTATGACGACTTGTCTTGATGGAATCAAGTGACCTTTCCGTGATCGGTGAACGGTGCGTGATATTCATCGGGACTTCTCGATGACTTGGTCGATTGTGTGTGATCGATGGTTGGAAAAAAAAAACGCTTCTGGATCCGGCTGCTTCCCCCAATTCATTTGCATCGAAGACGTGTGTCGATTGCAGAGCATTTCGGAAAAAAGTTCTTGGCTGCGATGAAAGGAAGCAGGAACAGGTGGAAACGACGTTCCTATAAGCTTTTCTCTGGAGCGAGAATGGCATTCCAGTATTTTCTTGCGTGGGAACGGCGTTCCCATTAACTTTCAAAGTGGAAATGTTATACCCCTTCCATACTCATCACAGTAGCAATTAAAAATAATTACTGTCTCGGCAACCTTCTGCCTTTGAAAGCATTGCATGCTCAAGGTATCGGGATGGTAAGGGGATAATCAGGGGAGATTATCCCCTGATTATCCCCCGCTCCTAGATTTGCGCGGCTCAGCTTCCACAACCTGCGATAGGGGACAGATGGGTATGTAACTTTCAAGTCAATCACCAGTCTGGTTGTGGTTTAAAAAGCAGAGTAATAATAGTTGCAGCGCTTCAGGATTGGGGAGTGCCATTTTTATGGTGGCGTTTGGCGTAAAGGATCTCATAACTTTTTCAAGCTATAACCCAACTTTTGCTCGAAGAGGTTTCCCATCGAACTCCTTGTCCCTTTGAAGATGCTGTGTCGATCTCGTACGATGATTTCTGCTCTGAGGGCGAGTGCCTAGGAGGTGATTATGCTGTCTTTCCTGTTTCACTCAGTGACTTGATTTCATTATTTTTGTCTTGCTCTTTTTCCGGTTGCGACGCAGAAAACTTGTTGCACAAAGTTGTGGTCAAGTCATGCATTTTTTTAAAATAATAATTTGACTTGCATGCTCTTGGTCTTGAAATAAAAGCCTTGCACCTTACCAGGTTGTGACTTGCTCAGTGTCGAAATTGTTGAGGATCGAGACATATTTGACAGGTCTCGGCTGGAGCGTTAGGATTTCCATTCGAGTCAGGAAGTCCATTTAAGTCTATTAGGGTGTCTCCAATTCAATTTCCGGGTTTCTTTCTTCTTGGACAAGGTAAACATGATCTTCACGTTCCTCCTGATTGCGAATCCCACTTAAAAAGGTTCCTCCTTTCTTCGTCGGACTTAACGTTCACGTTCTTCCTTCTTTCCTGTTTTGACCATGAGAACGGCGGGAAGGGTCTTATCCCCTCTCAACTTGCGAGGATCTCTTCGCGCATTCCCCATCTACTTCCCCGTCTCCGCGATTAAATGATGGAGCGTGGACTTGTTGACTTGGACCTTTCGAGCACCCTCTCAAGTACTGTGAGCTAGTGGTTTTTATACTGGTTATACTCAAGCAGCTTTTTCTCTTGGTTTTCTGACATCGCTGAGTCCTGTAATATTCCTAATTACTTTTTCTAGCTCCTCTTTGTACTAAAAAAAATGTGATTCTGAGAAGAGATGTATTGAGAGAGGTCCAAAATGTAGCCTAGAGCCTAGGGACCTAGAGGGCGCAGCACCCTCCTGCTCTTTCACTGATCCTATCCCTCCAGGGTTGATGAAAGAAAAAAAAAATCCTGCAGCACTAAGAACACCCTAATCACCGGGAGGGGGCTTAATTATTATCATAATGATATCATCACCACATTAATCATTCACACGGATCGATGGAAAGGCTCCCGACTCGTCGGCTGAGCTGTCATACCTTGTATTGCATCCCCGCAGCGGATGAATAATTACTAAGAAGAGCATTAGCCCTTCTCCAGAATTTTTCTTACTCAGAAATTCTTTTTGTAACGTAGATAGGCAATACGGTATCTGAGGCTTTCTCGTACTCTCGGACTCATCTGTACTTTCTGCATTAGCTGCACTCAGACACACTAATGAGGTCGTAACAAGCCTGGGGTGAGAGGAATAAAAGGGGATATGGATGGGATGTGCCAGGGTTTATCAAAGACAGCATTGAATCAGGGTGGGTGATGAGTGCCCTTTTAGGCTGGACCCTGACACTGATGGCCCATCCCCGAATGAGATGCCCTAAATCTTGTCCCTGAATCCACCCTCGGCGGTTCTCTTCACGTTGATATGGCCCTTTCCATGACCCCGTTCTGGTCTGATGGACAGGAAAACCGAATTACAATGTATCAACTGATGAGAAGGAAGGACGTTGCCCACTCTGGCTGGCATTTTTCTAACGATTGATGGACGAAAACCAAAAAGAGAAGAGCTTATCGACAGACACCTCTACAGGTGGAAAATATCTTGAATGCATAAAGACTAACTCACGTGTTAGATGCATTCACAGCAAGAAATATGATGGAATCAAGTTGAAGTCTTATCACGAGGCTAAGTAGATGAGATGAGACAAACAAACAATAAGGCTTCGTTCCCATAGTTCTGCTGGAAAGCACGCTCTCTTGGACAGAGGTCGTTGTCCTTCCTGTTTCCCAATCTTTCATTTGCACAGCTTGACTGTGACAGCTCACTCCAAGTTCCTGCGTCGTACTGACAACATGGTGCTCCTTTTGCAAGCCCTGATCGTGGCAACGAGTTTTATCCCCTTCTCCCGTTCGTATCCAGGTAAGCCTTATGACATGGATCAGAGCTTCGTTGAGGAATGAGGATCAGGGATCGTGATCCCGATCGGGATGAGGGATGGATCATCAGATGCAGCTTCTTGCTGTTTCTCCTCTTTGTTGATGATCGATGACCGAGACGGGTGGATGAATGCCATGAGAGGCCGCCTCCTTCCCTTCTTCCTTTCCTCTGTCTTCCTCTGCTCTTTTCCTCTCTTCCCTTCGAGTGGAGGGAGGATGTCTACAGGGGGATCGCCTCTCAACATCCTCTCTACACATAACTTCGTCATCCTATTTTGGCAACGGCCCAACAGCATACCCTTCTATGCTCCATCCACATGCTCTTCTCTCCTGTTTATTTTTTCTTCTTAAAGGAAGGAAATGCTTTCATAAATTAATTACTCATTAAAGTTAGATCAACCTATTCTTCGTCATAATAATCCTGCATTTCTTATACTAGCTGATTATAGTCTCTTTACCCGTGAAATGCACTATGGTATGAAAACCATGCATCGAAGCTCAGAGAAACGGGGATGGCTTCACAACATAAGGGTAGGAAGTTACGTTCTGCCGTTAAGTGCTGACAATCAGTTCTCGAATAGTCTGTGAAGATGCTTACCTATATGCAGCAATAACACTTGTGTGATGTTGTTATTCAACATTGTTATTGTTACTCAAGTGGATTCAACGTACAGGCGAAATGGCAGGCTTGGCGCTTCACAGCTGCCTATTATATGACCATCCCATAACTGCATCTGCTGTATAAACAATTGACGTCACATCGGCACCCCTTCCCCCCCCCCCCTCCTCCCCTCCACACGAGGCATGTGTTTCTTATCGCGAAAAGTTCTCACTGAAGCAACCTGGCTATGTACATACAATCTGAGTGCGTCCTTTGACGGAGGATGGTTCTCCACTATCTGGAGCTGCTACATCCATCCACCTCTCCCTTCTTGGTAATAAACCCGCTTTCTTAAGATATCAATAACTTGGACGATTACGGAATCAATTTTGTACAACTCCGTTGTGACTCTGCTGCCGCCTTTTACCATCTTTTCTTTTCAACTCCAACTCCAAGCTAAGAACATTCTTCCCTGCTTCCTCTTCTGAAGACGTTGCGCAGGACACGCACATCGGCCTATGGAAATCCGTTCTTCCTAGACCTGGGCAATTCAAATCAAGAATACACGAGACACGCTTTCCTTAATAGAACTTAATAGAATAACAGAATTTATATTGAACTCTCTTCCCAGATGCTGTACACTTTCTTTCGATTTTCCCAAAAATAAAAATAAAAATCCTTTTTTTCTTTTGCTCTTGGGCAATCAGCGATATCAACTATGTGATGATGCCTACTTGGAATGAAAAAAAAAAGTATTCCTTGATGAGATGGCACAGTAATACCTCAATACGCTCGGGATGTGTTCCTGAAAAACGGAGCCTTTCGCGAATCAGCGTATTGCAAAACAAGTTTTCCCGTAAGAACAGCGTTATAAATAGGAGATGCGAGCGAACTGTAACTGACTCCAGGTGTTCTCGGGCACGCTGGGCTGGACGCGGAACGTTTTTCAGGAACGCATCCGAGCGTATTGCGAGGTATGGCTGTATTCCCCAGTTTCATTGAGCTGCATGGGCATGGTTTTCATGCCAGAGTGTCGTACATCCGTACTTTATAATCACCCTGTATGTTGGATTATCATGTTAAGTTCATTTTAAATTTTATTTCGGACTTTTCGTAGAAGAAAAAGGACTCACTGTCGTACTGCCCGACAGAAAGGCATTTGTCAAAACTGATCCCGATATCGATTATTCTCCACGCGTCATCACGTCGCCTTCGCGCAGTCCAGACTGATAATTGATGACTGTTGATAAGAGTCGACTCCTAAGGCCATCTTTCATGATCCCCTGACACTTGAATGGGATGCTTAACCTTGACACCCGCGTTCTTTCATCGCCCTTCCGCTCACCGAAGCTCCACAGTAAGGGAATTCCCACCGACTGATCCCGAGACAGGCTGTGGTTCGTTGCGGAGGATGGCAAACGAAGTTTCTTCTACCGTTGGAGAGGAAGGGAAGAGGAGATTCCCGCCGGACTTCCTTTGGGGTGTGGCCACTGCTTCCTACCAGATCGAAGGCGCCTGGGATCGAGACGGTGAGCCCCTCAGCCGATAATCCAATCACACTCTCTCTACTGTGGACGGAAAGGGGGATCGAGGGAATAGATCCCTCTTCAGGTCATGTCCGACCGAGTAATCGGCATTAGGTCAATGAGGATTCACAGGCGAGTCCACGGACCCAATGATAAACATCTGATATGCAACCGTCCTAACCGTTATTCCGTGTTTTTTTTTCGGACCGTAAGTTGAAATCACTCGCAAAAGGAATGCTATGGTCTTCAAAGTACGCTTAGAATGTTTTTTTTTTTTTTGCTGCGTTTTGATACGATATCGATCTGCACCTCGATGCTCTTCACATGCGTCCAATGGTGTGTTGACCAAAAGCTTAAAAGGTGCTGTAATTGCTACATCATCTTTTTTTGGGGTGGGTGGGTGGGTAATGAGGGCGGAATTAATTGATAATTGATACTCTAGAAGAACAAGGTTCGGAGAAGCATTGAACAGAATAGGAGTACTATTCATGGACGAGCGTCAATTGACCTGCAAAAGGTAAAAGATAGAAAGATCGCCCCATGTCTGGATAGCCCCGGGGAGAGCCTGCTACTATTCAATACATAGCTGGATGCCAAGAGGGTAAGAAAAGACTGCCTTCTTTTGTAGCGTCAAGTGCAACGGCCAAATGAGCGTAGTCTGAAATTACTGGCGTGATGCTATTTAGGGAATATGACTGAAATCCCTGACGATTGCTTCTTCTGCGGGCGAATATGAAAATTATGAACTTGAACTGGAAGAGACAATTGCAAGCACTTCTGCAGGGTTTTATTCTTTTTTTTTTAAGTATCCCAGTTACTAAATCTGGTTTTTGAAATGGCATGGAATTTTTTTCTGTCAATTCTTATGACAACTGTGGAGAGGAAATTTCATGAGACAAAGCTTGTGAAACCAAGTTTCTAGTCAACCATGAAGGAGGAAAGACTAGAAGCCTTGATGATCATCTCATGTGAAACTGACAGTCATTGATTTCTGGACGTGGCAATGGACTCATTCATTTTCATCTAATAATCAAATCTTTGTCGTACGTGATTGGTGATTCCAGTGAATGACCCAATGCACCCTAAGTAACGTGATGTTATAGTAGCGAAGGTGAAACCATTTTCCTGTTATTCACCAAGGACGCATGGTAAGTGAGGTTCGTCAGTGATGATGAGAGGTATATACCTGATCAATATCTGATCTTCAATTGTAGGTAAATTATTAGGCAGCATACCCTTGAGATACATAAATACAGATACATCACAGGATGTGAGTGCATGGGCACTGACTGTGGAAGGAAGAACCAATAAATCATTCCCACATGGGCCAATCAAGGACGTTAGTTTGCCCGATGCCCCCCACTAAGATTGCCCATCTTCATCAGTCCCAGCATTCGCTCAGCTGCCTCCCTCCCCCCCTCCGTTCTAATGTCCCTTCGCCCATGGTGTCGATCTGTCTTTAGCTCCTTGGGCGTGGTAGGCGATACAAATTTGAGATGGGAGTGGTCATGCTATCATAAATGCCTAACTCTCAGCCCACCACTTTTTGTATCTACATACGACAGTAAAGAGAATTCCATTTTTGCATCTTCTGTAGAAAGAATTCCATGTCAAATGGAGTAAGGCACGCAACATATCGACCCGGTGGCAAGTGTCCATTCACGTGTTCATTAAAACCTCGCTTTATATCATTTTTAACCAGCCTACCACTCCAAACTTCTAAAAAAAAAAGTGCATCTAAATTCAAAATCATGCATCGCGAGGCACCTATTCAGTTTTCGAAACGTTGCAATCGATGGTAAGGTTGTAATAAAATAAATGGGAAATCGCCAACTCTCACAGAGAGGGATGGGGTATATTATTGCCTGTGGCGATTGACAATATGGCAATACTCTCAAAGAAGCCCCACTATTGAACTGGGCTTTGCCCTGCTCGTTTCCTGGTATCACTGAAAATGCCCTCCGGGAGAGCGTTTCTCATTCGGAATTCCACGTGGAAGACGAGAAAGGAGAACTCAGATTCATAATGTGGAAACTTTTTGCTGTCATGGGAGCGCATATATTAACACTTTGAGTCCATGTCCCTGCATATTCTTACGTTATCGTTGAAAAGCAGGAAAAACCCATCCTGGTATGAATTCACTCTAAAATTCATTTAAAATTCACCTCTTCACTTTAATATTCGCGAGAAATTGCCCTTGGCATCTATCTACAAGGCGCATTCAATTATGAACTCGTAATTTTAGTGAATTTTTAAAGAAGTGGCCGAGTAGAAACCACATTAGCCAGAGGTATCCTTTAAAACTGAGACGTAAGGCATGGCGCACAGACCTATGATAAGATGCGGGCCTTTCGCTCCCTAGCTCCACCTAGGCCCACTTCAGTCTTGTCATGTATTGCGGGTCTACTGTAATGCACCTCTTTACATGGCCTGCTGCATTCATTAGCCATGCACCAAGAACTGCGTGATGGGCTTAGTTCTGAGCTGAATGTGTTTATTAAATTCCAGGAAAATAAAAAAAAACAAGGTCAGAGCAGGGCTTATCTAATTATGGCAGGGAGTATCTAATTAGCCACCTCATAGGACTAATTGCTCTATGGAATTGAGAAAGTTAAATTACGACACCATGTTGAATTTGAGAAACTGCACACGATAGAACGTCACCGTGCGCGTATAGGCCAAGCTAAAAGGGAAAAACTTAGATCCGTTAGCGAAATGTTACCTTTATAAAATTACACAAGAAGATTACACAACAAGGTTTGTCAACGACTTGAATCACACGACATAGCAAAATTGAAAGATTCTAGAAGACAGGTCCATCCAAGACGACATCCAATGTAGCGCCCACAACCACACTTCGACCACCATGGAAACCGCACGGAGCGACACCTAGCTCTAACTAATCGAACTGTGGCAAGTCCCCACGCGCCAGTGCTTCCGCGGAACGGAGCAGATGTCGCACCAGCGAGGTTGACTTGCCTGACTAATGAAGTAAACAAGCAGGGGGAGGGGATATAGAGAGAACGTCAGGATTCTAGAAGATGAAGTCTACGAGATAAAATAAAGCTTGAAATTGCAGTTGCTACGGTACACAGATTTCTGCCCAAAATCATTTACAAACTGCAAGCAATAAGTAAATCAGCACAAACTAACCGATTATCCCGTTCAGTTAGCAGAAAGGAAAATGCACCGAGTTTCATTGCAACTTCCATGATTTTTCTCAGGATGGTCGGGACATTTTCCTCGCCGCCTGACTGACATTTTCTCCCTCTATCTGTCCGGGATCAGGTAAAGGTGAGAACATCTGGGACGAGTTCGTGCACCGGAAACCCTCGCCGATCACGAACGGGGACACGGGTGACGTGGCATGCCGGTCCTACGACTTCTACGAACGAGACGTGGACCTGCTCAAGGCCCTCGGGGCACGTGAAGAGACGCTTTTTCATTGTTTTCCAACCGTCGCGGCGGCGAATGATCTCGTCGAAACCGAAATGGCCATATTCGGGATTTGAAAAAAAAATAACAACATGGGCTTCTTCAAGTCAAGCCATCTCGAAAAAGATCGAACTAAGTCATTGACCACTCACATACCTCCAAACGCATACCTGATCGGCTTCAACAACTCAGACGAAATGAGGAGAGACAATTAAAGAAAATCGTACGTATTTTTATCTTTCTTTTTTCGCTTGAGTAAGATTTCGTGATTTTTTTTACTCAGGCCGCTCTGGTTCCAACTTGATCAACCAATCTTTTTTCATTATAAATAATTATTTCATCATATTTTATTAGATTTAATATATTTTCAGGTGAAGGCCTACCGATTCAGCATCTCATGGTCCAGGGTCCTCCCAGACGGGACGCCGAATTCGGCCAACCCACTCGGGGTCCGGTACTACAACAAGCTCATCGACCTGCTCCTCGCGAAAAACATTCAACCGATGGTGTGCCATTTTTAACCTCTCGTGGGACAGGCTCGGCGAATATTTTGAGTGCAAATATTCGGAATTTTTAGGTGACTCTGTATCACTGGGACCTTCCACAAGCCCTAGAGGAGAAAGGCGGGTGGCTGCGCCCGGATTCACCGGCTTGGTTTGAGGAATACGCGAAATTTTGCTTCGAAAAATTCGGGGATCGGGTAAGACCCGGTGATTTCTGACGTGCAGGGCATGGAAACGTACGAACGATAATTCCCTCCCAGGTGAAGCTATGGATCACGTTGAACGAGCCGTACGTTGTGGCCCTGAGCGGGTTCGAGGAGGGCGACCACGCGCCCGGGGTGAAAGGCCACGGCACTGCCGTCTACACGGCGGCTCATCATCTCCTCGTGGCTCATGCCAGGGCGTGGAGGGCGTATGACCAACAGTTTCGACACCTGCAGAAAGGTCAGTCCGAGACTTTCAATGGCAAGGGAGCTAATTTTGATTCTCGAGTGTTAACTGGGATTATGAAACGATTTTGATAGCGTGTGAAATTAGGTCGAGAAAATCTAATATACAATTTGGCATGCAACTTCTTATGAGACATACGCAATGTTTGTTGTCGATCTAGATAGAGATTTCATCGAGAAAATTTCATTTTCTCGATGTTCAATGTTCAAATACAGGAAAGGTGGGAATAACGCTGAATGTGGCAAATTTCAAGCCAGCAACTTCTTCCCCTGAAGATGCCGAAGCCGCAAACATTGCGTTCCGTTTTGACGTGAGTTCTCGTTTATTTAATGGTATTTATAATTACCACAATAAGAAGAATGCCCCAACAACAATCTTTTCCCAGTTTCACTGTGCCACCACTAAACAGTTTATATGGCGTTTCGAAGGACTGCTTGAATACGGGTATCGAAGCTACTGCCCGCATATGATTTTGATTCTGAGGAGTACTGTCATAAGGTTTCCCACTAAACCACTTAAGCGTTTCTTATTTAACTTATTTTATATCAAAGCCCGAGAGGGAGATGCGATGCGGTTCGACTCGCAGGAAGTCTCGGAATTTCGGTTCAGCTGGTCAATCGCATTTTGAACGTATGAAAACCAACTGCAGAAAGATGGCTGAAAACATTCCTGCATGTCGGGAGACAGGCCTGCATTTGCTCATTGAGCCCTTAGGAGGGAATGCCATCCATTAAAGCCGTTCTAATTCTAATGGCAAACGGATACTCTCCCGTTTGTTTTCCCATTTTCCCGAGGCAAGGCTTTGGTCTGCTGTTTGTATTCGGGAGAGGGACATTTAGCAAATAAACCGATTCACCGACAGGTCCGTTTAACAGGAAACTCAGCTTGCCGAATAACAGGTTTTAGCCAAGGGTGCTTATTTTGCAGAAAATAATTTCCCAGACAGAATCTAGAGCAATGGTCAAGCTGAAGGTCCTCAATCAGCTTCGAGATATCACACTCGATTAAGGGAGGCCACGGCTGTGCTTGGCGTCTGTGCCATCGGTAAAGGATGGAGTGACTACCAAGTTGTACCAGCAATAATCGAAGGTTGGAGGCCATGTATTCAAATTCATGAGGGTCTTGAACCAGACAGGAAAACGTAAATTTGTTGAAAATCGAAGCAAAACTGACTTGTAAAAAGGAGTTTGATGCGGATTCTTTGCGCTCACTCCCACGTCTTGGAATCAAAATGAAACGTTGCACAGAGGGTTGATGCAAATTAAAATAATGATGAAAATCCCCCCCCCCTCCCCATGTGCGTGACCGGAATCGCAGCTAGGCTGGTTCGCGAACCCAATCTTCTCGGAGGAAGGGGATTACCCGGAGGTGATGAAGGAACGAATCGAAGCCAACAGCGAGGCCCAGGGTCTTAATGCATCTCGACTTCCTTCGATGGATCCAGACACACTCAATCTCATCAAAGGTGAATGAACATAATAATTCCTTATTTCTTCTGATCTTCTATCCGAGAATGATGATTCCTTGCCGATAATTTTTTTTTCCCTTTTTACGTCATGATGGCAATTTCGGAAAGTTCTCAATGAAACTTCAATGCTTCATGGAAAAAAGAATCTACATTTCTAATGTCATGAATAAATTGTTCTGTGAACTTTGTTGAGGACGCCTGGGAGATCATGAGGCTTGGAGAGAGAGAAATATGAAGAAATAAAACTGAAAGGAACTCAAGATGAAAGGATAGAGCACTTATTTCATACAAATCTGTAAGATGACAAAAAAAGAAGATATCAAAAGAACGAGTGGGAATAACTTTATTGTACGTTCCAAAAAAAAGCCTCTCAAAGTATCCATTTTTGCAAGTTTCTCATGCGGTTCCAAAACGGTACCTTGCAAAATGAAGCCAATTTTTTAATTTCTCGACAAAGAATGCATTTTACCGCGTTGTCTTCTCCTCGAAGGCACTGGGGACTTCCTGGGAATCAACACGTACGACACCCTGCTGGCGAATGGAGGCGCGATCAACGCGTCCGACACCCCGAGTTTCTCAAACGACAGGGGAGTCCGATTCACCAGGAATCCGGATTGGCCGTCTAATGCTATGGGCTGGCAGGTAGGACTCAATCGTCTCATTTGCTCCCAACTAAATTTTTAAATCGATAATACGATGTAGTTCATTCAGTCGCGTTTCGCTGCGTGTTTTTGGGGATTGTTTCTCTTACTGAAGGATAAACATAAATCACCTTCATGCGAAAACAGTTTGGCCTCCCAACATACGGTGGCTGTAAAATGTAACGAGGAACTCAAGCGGCTCAAGGGCTCAAATGCCCGTTTGAGAATATTGATTTACTCTAGGGATTCAAAAGGGAATTTTTCCCTCCTCACATTCTCCGCCAGCTACCAAATGGTGGAATTCAGTAGTCACACTTCCCACTTCATAGTCCGGAAAGAGGAGATACAAACAGGTAAACTTTTAATAATGTAATAAGCTATGCCCCGAGAGCCGCAATGCATTTCCTGCAAAGGCTTTCGGATCTTGAAATTCCCTCGCCATCTGCATCTGATTTTTTATTACAATATTCAGAGTTGAATATTGTAATTCCCTTCCTTGAACTCCCTTCCTCTTGTAAATTAAAAACCCTTATTCCAAGGACAGCTCCCATCATCCTACTCGACGTGTCCATAAAGTCACCCTCGAGGTCACCCACAGATCGAAAATCGCTTTATCCCATCTTGGCCTTCAAGAGTATGCGCTACAGAGCATCCTGTAAAACGGGCCTGAACGACCCATGTAAGCACTCGTACATGCTTTCGGCTGGCCTCGGCCACTGCACCTTTTCATGCATGCTTCGCGTTGAGTGGGGCCGGGAGATAAGGCGAAGGGCCGGGGAATTGCTCGACCCAAATTCCCTTTTCCCTCTCTTCTTCCGTTCCCCTGGGATATCATCGTCCTAGAACGTTTAGCACTTTCACACTTTAGCACCGTTCGGAACATACACATCTATTTTATTATTCCTGGTACATAGGTTTCAAGCAAGGGCAAGACCGTCCTTTCTTACTGAGCTGACTTTCGGACGAGAAAAAAATTTGAAAGGTATGCAACACAGGCTTCCATGAGGAAAGTAGAGTCAACTCTCAATATAATGCCAATGTCGGTCACCCCTGATTTTGGCGCTATAACGAGCCATAACCAATAATCATATTCCCTATTATAAGTTTATGGCGAGATTTGTCCACAGGAAGAAGTTGGCGATAGGAGCAGGTGGCGTTATGCCGACGATTGACGGTATCGCCCTTATTTCACGACCCCCTGTTGCCAGTTCTGATAGCCTAAATATCGTTGCTCGTACGCTTGCCTACCCCCTGTAAGGGAGCTAGAGTGGCAACTTTGGCACCTTAGATAATGTTTCAGTAATGGCAAGTCCGCCCTGAGCAATGAAGCAGCGATTGTGAGAAATTCTGGACTGGATTCAAGCACAAACATGATTTCTTTGCTTCATGCTTAGATTAAGCAAGGCCAGGAATGGTCTAAAGACTCAGTCGAGTCAATGACCCTCCCTAATATTCATTTTCACTGGCTTGTTTCCACGAACCCTCATTTTAACGAATTGATTTGAACACGTCCATCTTATGACCTTGGGTTTTCAAAGTTCAACCGAGTCGAAGTCAAGCGCTCATCATTAGCCCCTCCTGATGAGATGAGCCCGCTCATCGAAGAGATATGTATTGGGTAGAAGTAAGTCAATCACCTGCCTGGCAACTTATGAATAACTTACTCCGCTTTTTCCCCTGCAAAGGGATGAAACCTCTTCTTAAAAGGAGCTGAACCGATCATAACACGTCGAGAATTTAAATTGTTGGAACATACAAGCATTTTCTTTCGAATCTTCATCGTCATAGACGATGGGAGTTCCAGCAAGACTTTCTACCTAAAATCTTATACCATGATGCAAAATTGCGTCACATTTATACTCAAAAGAATTTCAGCAAAGTGACAAACGATGACAATCCAGCAAGCCTTCCTTAGAAGCATCATTAGACCCATTCCCGCGTCGTACCAATGTTGAAGACCTGGGGCCTGTTCCACGCTAAATATAAAGTAAATCAACATTTTTCGAAGTATTTAAATTGGCTCACAATTGACTTAATTTATATTCTCCCTTTAAAAATTGTGACACTGGTCTAAGTCTTTGAATAAGAACAGACTCTCCTTTTTAGACTGTTTTTACATTTTATTTAAATTCAAATCTACCCGTAGGCAAAGGTGGGATACAGATATCCGCTACTTTTCCCACCGCTATGGGATTAGATATAGTTTAAATAGTCCTGAAAAATGCTTCCCAATTTTCACGAGCCAGGCAATATTTTTTATCGTCCCGCCATTCCAAAGGCCGAAAATGCAGTTTCTGCACAGATAGGCCGATGCCAAGGTGGATATTGGCGCAATATCTAGGATATTGCGATAGGCAATGCGAACGCGCACCAGGAGGTGGGAGGGTAAGTAGATGGTTCTTATTTTAATTTTTACCCACCAGACCACTTGATTTTCACTAGCCAGGTTGTGTTCCTTTTACTGGCCGATCAAACTTTCTGCTGGCGAGTGGGCGAGTGAAAATTTTACAGGCCTAGCTTCAATTGATATTTAGCCGAGGAGAAGAAGAGGCTTTAATATCCTCTTCCCTTCCCTCTCAGAAGCACCAAAACGTACCGTCCTGTCATACAGATTGAAAGTCATGCTTTCAACTGCGACATGATTCCCTGAGGCAGAGATTCTGAGGAAAAATGAAGTTGCAATCGGTAGATTTGAACAGGAAAGAGGGGAGCAAAAACTTTTCTCTCCTCTCGTTAGCAAGTAATCCGTCCGCTTGAAGGCCACACGAAGTAGCAACTCAATTTTTCCTTCTCAGCTGTATCCCAAGGCGATGGAGGAAATCCTGAGGTGGGTGAGGAATGAATACAATAACCCGACGATTTACGTGACGGAGACGGGATACGCGGACCCTGATGTCATCCTCGAGGACACCAACCGCATTCGCTTCTATTGCGTGAGTTTCAGCATGCAAACAAACTTGTTTCAGCAGAGCCTTACGTGGGAAATCCGTTCCAGGAATACATCGTGAGTCTATGGAATGCGATGCAAGAGGGCAGCAAGGTGAAAGGATTCATGGCGTGGAGTTTCATGGACAATTTCGAATGGGCTCACGGATACACGTCAGGAACTTTCAGTTACATACCGTTACGGTAACACCAAATTCCGTTCCACCTAAACATCCCTTTTTTTCTCATCGATTACAGGAAGAAATTCGGTCTTTATGCCGTGGATTTTGGAGACCCAGAGAGGAAGAGAACGGAGAAAATGTCCGCCAACTTCTACAGAAAAGTCATAAAGGAGAATGCCATCTGATCCTCCCCCTCGACAAATCCCGTAGTTATCAATAAAACTTTTTACCCCCTTGGGTCGAGCATCTCAGTTCCTCTCGAGGGGTATCCCAGCAGGTGTCATCGCTATATTCATCGCTATCGTTCATGTGTATAGCAAAGCCGTTGTGCTTTTCTCAGACCATTTCATCTCATTTCATGATGTGTTTTTAGAGGACCGTTCCCAAAACATGAATCAGAGGCCAAAGCAATGACATCCAGGATGAAAGTTGACATATATCCGTATTCATCGGAGCCTCAATCTATCTCCCGTTAAGCATTTCCCTGCTATGGTGATGGCTCGAATTTTCATTCCCGACCTCGACCTTCAACCTCTCTGGATCTGGGCCAAGGAGAGGCCAGCCTAAGCAGTCCTTTACTTTTCATCATAGTTTCCGTGTTGTGTGAGCCATACATCTCGCCTGCCCTAAATCTAAATCTTTATCTAATCTCAAGTAATAAACTAGTTATGGCGAACGCTCGTTATATCGACGGATCAGACCTCATTCACAAGACGGATTTATTTAGGGTGTATATCTTCGCCCTTGTACGCCGTACCAGAGCGAGGATATACCGCCTTAAAATTACAAATAGGCGTAAAAAAATGGGCTAATTTGCTATACGCCATCATATATATTTTACACCTGAAAGGCAACATGCGGGGCGACGTCACATGATCGCGTCTGGTCGGTTGATAGAAGCGTCGTTTTGTCAAGAGCCCTGAATCAAAACCTATTCTCAGCACGATGCATCTCAAAATTGGATCATTTAAAATTGGGCCGTATTGCCATGAGTGCAATGGAAGTGGAATTCTAGAGAGACCTTCCATCGGGAGAGAAACAGGTAAACGCCCCATTGCTACCATCTGAGGAATGCTTCATTGGCGGCCTAAGTGGAATGGCAAGCGACACATCAGATACTGGGTGTGTGTTTGAGCCTCTACTGGACACTTACTTTCAAGGATATCGTATTGTACTCGAAGATTACTCCCTTAATTGCTATATCTTCCCAAAAGCGCTACTCCCTTTGGCCCGGAAGACTGCAGCAAAGCTCACAAACGAGTACACCTCGTCAGTAATGCATACTACTGGTTTTTGCGTGGACGAATAGCGCCCGTCACAAACACTCAGGGGTTATAGTAGGGCTGTCACGATAGCAGTTTTTAAAACATCGATGCATCGGGGGGGGGGGGGGGGGGGCACCGAAGGATTCAATTTTTTCTCGCCCCGAGGGGGGGGGGGGGATGCACCGAAGGATTCAATCTTTTCTCGCCTCGATCGAAGCGCAGACCTCTTTCCGTTTTCCATAATCTCACTCTTGTGATCTGTGTTTGCGGGGGAAGGTGTGACCTTCGCAGGGAGTAATGAAACCTATCATGTCTCCAACAACCGAAGATGACATCCTTTCAACGATGGATGCATCAGGACAACCTTAATTTTTTCTTATTGTCGTTGAGAATCAGTTCACGTTCACGTAATTTTTTTTTCTCTTTTTCTTCGTTCTACACGGTCTTTGGAAATTGGCACCAGCAGATAGCAAACCTGCCGATGGTGCCATACCAGCAGTTGCCGAAACATCGGCACAACCCGAGAATAAGCAACGTCCATATAAAAAATTCACAATGGGTTCACCTCAAGTAATGAGGTAAAATGCTCCGGGGCAAGTTAAAATTTAAAAAAACGTAGGCCTGCATACTAAAGAGAAAGACAGGAATATAGAGAGGGGGATTAACCAATGTACAATGCGAAATCAAGGGAATTTATGAACATTCCACAATCGCAGCATGCACCTGATGAGTTTGAACCGAAGACTGAAACCGAATATAAAAAATATTCTCGGCCTTCCCTCCCTCTCCTTTCTCAGTTCCTGCATCATATCCAACATATTTTTTTTTTTCCTTTCCGTCATTCATGCAGTCAGTCCCAGCATTTAAAGAATTTGATCGTGATAAATTGCAAACCCATGCGAGTCACGCCGCCTCCTCCTTTCCCGTCCGGACGGACTGTATTGTACCGTACTCGTTTCAATCCAATGGGGCATTTCTCTTTTAAAATCATTTACGGATACATCGCGATGGTTGAAAAAACAATCGATAGTGGTATCGATGCATCGACCTATCGTGACAGCCCTAGTTAAAAGGGATAGCAGACTTTAAATCTCAATGTGTCGGTTTGTTTTGAGAAATTGAAGCACGAAGCACTCCCTGCTACTCAAAAGGCAATATAGTGCCTATTTTTAACAACCATCGTAGTGCAGAATGTCACTGTTACTGCAAATTTCCATTTCCAAAACTCCTCTTATTCATGCTCGCACATTTCAAAATTATTATTTGTCAATCGAGCTCCCAAATCGACAGAGATCAATAATTACTATCAAGTCTGGTGAAAACCATTTTTCAAAGGCCTTATCCCTTTCTGCAACCCCCTAATTTCTTTCTCTAAGGTTCCCTTCAACGTTAGGCCTAGGCTAAACCTACCGACGATCTTCAAGTCAGGTCTAGGCCTACAAAGGTCTAGGCTTACATTTTTCGCTTAAAAAATCTCACCATTCCACTAACTGGGCTAATTATTGAGTCTATAAGGCTCGATCTCAGGTCTTCAAGACATCTTGGTGAGGATGGATAACGTTTGGTCTGTCTGGAGTTTCTCGAAGCATTTCGACGAGGTCTGAGAAGAGAATGCCTCCGAGATTGAAATTCACGCTGGGCGCCATCCTGTTAATTCAAGCATTTCAATCTCATTTCATCCCATGAACTCAGCACAAAAAAATGTATCATACATTAACAAAGTGAAGATCCAGGCACCTATGCGAAGGCCGAAGCAGTCATGAATTCGACATAACTCCAGTCCTATATCAGGCAAAACTGGAGGACGGGACAGAAGCCCGCAAGCTAAGTAAAGAATGAACGACAGCTATATTTATTTTTCATAGCAAGCTGATACATCACAAACAACAAAAAGGACACTTTCTGTGATTTGCAAGTCAATATCTTTCTCTTGGTTGGAATACTTTTTTTCCGAAAATACGCCAGGAGGAACAACCCAGGAACAGGGAGGGAGGGGGAGGGGGAGGGTGGGGGGGGGGGGGGGGGAGAAAGGAAAATGAGAAGAACGTTGACTGGGAATCCCATACATTNGTGGGGGGAAGAAAGGAATATGAGGAAATTTAATTTTGCGACAGGAAGATGTTGAAGAAATGGTATAGGCGCTACGACGACTATTGATACCAATTTTGAAAAAATAAGAACTCGTCTACAGTGACATGTCATTATAATGAAAGGGGGCTGTTCCGCAACTGGAGGGGCCACAGAGATAAGGCTCGGCGCTAATTCCTGCCGGCTCGCAAGGGGCTCAGTCGAGGTGCCCCCCCGCCCAGAAAGGGTTCACTTCATTGTTAGGATATTAATAATCAAAACAAAATAAACAAACCGAAACGAACCAACTTTAAGGTCTAAACTAAACTAAACCAAACTAAACCAAACTAAACTAAACCAAACGAAACTAAACTAACAGGAAACTTCGCAACTCCATTTAAGAATGTCATATCAGTTTCAGATATAGGACTCTATCCGAAAGTCCGAAGACAGGATTATTAACTCCCCGACCTCCCCCTCCCCCTCGAGACGATAAGCTCGGCTAAGCCCAGGTCGTTAAGATGTGGGCCCTCCAGTTGCGATACAGCCCTTTAAGTTGCTAAAATCCACTCACACGCTTTGGAGAAACATTCATAGACATACACGATTAACGGTCATCCGTAATTTCCGCAAACTTTTGTCTTTTCTCTCTGATACTAAATCATTCCATTTTGCTCTTCGGATGTGCGTCAACACACCGGGAATGTTTGGCTCAAATTACATGGATCGTTGGATGCGTTAATTGCAGTGAAATGAGGCAGAATGCTACCACGAGGTGAAATAGCGAGATGAAGAACAATGCGTTCTCCCGTGTGTCTACCGCATAGCCTGTTGTAGCTGTTTATGCCTTAACTTTGGGAAACCCCCTCGTGCAAAGGAACAAGAATTTTACTTCTATCACTGAAAAACTGGATTTATTTACTCTCTTAAACCATGACTTCTGAAGCGAACAGAGCATGAAAGGTATCAATGAACTTGAATTCAGAGAGCTTAAAGTATTACTGGTATTACTAAGAAAGTGCTTTCTATGGAATACTGAAGCTGTGTGAAGACAGAGCGTAGCAAAGTGGCATCATTAAGTAAGGAAAATAAACTTGAAGTAAAAAACTTTGGGTGTTGAACGTAGAAACATGGCGCGGGATCACGCCAATAGAAGCGAGGTATAGTTCAACCAAAAATATTGATATAAAGAGATGCCACTCACTAGTGGGGATGCATCATAAGCGTATCCTCAGCCGTGTAAACATTAACGCCATCTACGCATTTTTCATGAACTACTCCTTAGCTTCGGAGTTTAAGCATTGCCTGCAAAGGCACAAGGTATTGAGGAATATGAGCCAACCCTCTCTGAGAAGCGATTCTTACTCAGACCCCACTCACGGTGACGCAGCAAGATTGCAGTGACGAGGTCAGAAATTCATGAATATCAGTTTATCAAGGAAACAAATTCGTGTCTGCTACATTCATGTTATTCAATATTTCAAAATCTGCTTAGTGGAAATCGAGCAAAAAGCACAAGTGGTGCTTCAGTTCAGAACATGAAATCCATATCTGAATGCTTTATAGGCATAGAATCAAATTTGCCTCATGAAGTATTAATAAAAAAGCCAAATATATGAAGAATCGCCTATGGTTGACATTAACGAAAGTGTTCACGTTTACAGAGAGCCTTTCCTTCGCATCAAAGACGTGATTCTCTCTTTGTCTTGAAGAACACCACAGTCCCGGCGCACATGAAATGCGCGTGAAGTGGGTTCCAAGTGAGAATCGCTTCTGTGGGAGAGCCTGGTTTCCTTTTGGTCGCATTTAAGACATTGAGGACGGGCCCCGTGTTTACACGGGTTTTCAGATCCATGCGTGACGGGACACGTGTAAACACGGATTTTGCGCATGACGAAGAAACATGCATCTTTTGACATCTGTCGGGGGTTTTTCGAACTTATTGAACATATGCTCTTGATTAGGAAGCTTTAAGCTTTGAAGCTTTTAAATTTGCGACAAATCCATTTAGAACTTTAGGAGTTATAGCCTTTTTAGTGCTACAGTGTGTTTTGCAGTTCAGTTTGCTTAAAATGCCCGGGAACCAGGGTTATGGTAACACAATTTCGTCCGGTCCTCAATGTGTTAATAAGGCCAAATCATAATGTTGCCCCACTATACAAGATCAAACACAATGAATACAAGTTTGACCCAAAAAAAATTACAACTTGAATAGGCATGACTTATAAGACAGCGTGTTGCATTCCGTTTAGTCATCAGTTGAGCACTGGCTGTTGAGGATAACGGGTCTCTCTGAACCCTGTGGAACTTGAACCGTTTCTGGCCCGAGTGAGGGAAGCCCTTTAAGTGGACACCATATACGAGAACTGCACCGGTACTTGTTGCTTCATTTCTCACTTTCCCCATTCTTTATTCTATACCATTCTGCCATTCTTGCTGAGTTTTAATGAAAAAAGCAAGATTACACCTTTTTTTTATTAGGTTTCTCTCCCTGAGTGGGACCATTCCTTTTCTAAGCAGCTAGCAGACAAAGAACAGGCAAATTCTTAGTGAACAGAATATTGAATAGTCTAAGATTAACAGCTTTTACCTGGCTACGCTAATAGAGCGAGTGTGAACAGCGACTGTACGACTGCGATCACGACGAGGATCTGGATTTCCTCACAAGGATGGAATTCATGCCTAATTCTCTGTCATGAAGGAAATCCATTTCTTCCTGTTTCGGCTCCGTGCATTTCAATGCAGGGATTCTCAAGCCGCCTGTCCATGTATCCCATTGCATTAAAACGTCGGCCTGATGTTCGCTTTCGCCGAGTTGGTACTTGCGCCGAAGCATATGCGCTCCCCTGTCAGACAAGAATTTTTTTTCAGTCGAGAAATTCGCTGACAGGCCATGACGACAGCGGGTCGTGGAGTCGCTTGCAACTCACGTAGGGAGTTTTCAGAGGGGATCCAGAGGTATTGTCCCACTGTGTGATCGCGCGTGCTTGTAGTTTCCTTTCCAATAATGTTCCCGACTTATCCATTAGAGGGGGGGCGAGGTAGCAGGCTAATGCGGACGATAATGCCTCGGAAGTTCCGAGGCCGATTGTGTCCCGTGTGGTACTGCGTGCTGTTCTTTATCGTCTGGATCTTCTTCTCCTGGGTCTTCTTCTACACCGGGTATGTGGATGCCGTTCGTCATTCTCTTTCGCTTTCGTTTCCCATGATTGCGGGCGTTTCCGAACAGGGAAGGGGCGACGGGAGATGATAACCTGGAGAGTTGGTTCGTGGATAAGGAATTCCCCGAAGGGTTTCACTGGGGGGTGGCCACTGCTGCCTACCAGATCGAAGGCGCCTGGAACAAAGACGGTGAGCTCCTCTGCATGTTTATCTTCAACGTTGGCTCCCGTGTGTCATTTCAATTTTTTATTTGCAACGTAATGGGTCCATTCATCGAAAAAAAGGAGTAGCACTACTCCAGGCTTAACATCATACAGGGTGATAAGTTTTGGTCTCGAGCATTGCTACTCCCTTCTAAGAGAAAAGGCTCATTGTCGAGGAGGAAAGTGGTATAATACATGCATTCAGCTGGCCGTAATATCTGACAGAATCATGCCTTCCAAAAATTATTAATTACGGAATGGCTCCTGACCTTCATCTTCAAGTACAACAGCAGCTCCCAAACTGCGATTCCGCTCTGCCTTTACACATAGAGCGTCTGGCTGTGTATATGCAATTATAATTGCAGGGAAAAAGGAGAGCATCTGGGACGAATTCGCCCATCGTCGACCGTCTCCCATCAAGGACGGGTCGACGGGGGATGACGCCTGTATGTCCTATGACTTCTACAAGTCTGACGTCAAGATTCTTCAACAGCTCGGGGTATCCTAGTTGTTTCTTACCTTAACAGAGAGTTTAAAAAATGCAGTATATACTGCATATATATGCGAGAAGCAAGACAATAAAAACGAAAACAATAAAGCGTCAAGCTCATAATTTTTTTTCTTTTACCAGTATGAGATGCTTCACAACGCCGATCTAATGCCTCATTTCACCGTAGGTTAGGGTGTACCGGTTCAGCATCTCGTGGTCTCGAGTGTTACCCGATGGGACAACCAACTCGGTGAACGAACAGGGAGTCCTCTACTACCGCAACCTCATCGAGCAACTATTGTCAAATGGCATTGAGCCTATGGTATGAGGAAAATATCTCTCTCCTCTACATGATTTCTTCGGAATCGGATAGCTGGAATGAGGTTTGGATTTGTAGGTGACTTTGTATCACTGGGACCTGCCCTTGGCACTGCAGAAAAAAGGCGGCTGGCTCAGCAAAGATTCCGCAAAATGGTTCGAAGATTACTCCCGCTTCTGCTTCGATACTTTTGGCCCCAAGGTGATAGGAATATTTCCTAACATTCTTTCAATTCAGATCGAATTTTATAAACTCAAGCTCACCTCACCACTACATGGATGGGGGTGTAACTCAGTGGTAGAGTGTTCGCTTTGCATGCGAAAAGCCCCGGGTTCGATCCCCGGCACTTCCACACGTTCTTTTTGCTCATGAATCCTTCGTAAGAGCATTCTTAAATTATGGCTTTTGGGCCATGACGGGTATCTCCAGGTCATGAGATTGAAGTTTCTACCAATTCACGCATCCCATTCTACGAATATACAGTTTTTTTTGGAGAGCTTGTTAATCTTTAAATTTTCTTTCGCTGAATATGTGGGTTCCAGCGAAAAGATTGGTAGATACTATTTGAAGTTCACAAATACATATCACGAGTGCCAAAATAGGATTGCTAAGGATTGAACGCGAGAACATACATTAAAATAGTGCTTACAGTGTGTCTTGTGGGGCAAATAAGATTTACAAACTGGATCGGATGAGTTCACGGTGACGGCTGCGGTACTGATATATGCCTTTCAATTGGCCGGAAATTATAGCCATCGACCAAAATCCTGTCGTTTCGAAAGCTAAATTTTACAGCGTTTTTGCTTATCTGTAAACAGTTTCTTTTTTCCCTTTCTTCAACCCCTTCTCATGACAAAAATCTGTCTTCTCGTCCTCCTCTCAGAGAAAATCTGGAGGAACGAAATTTGACATGCTTCTGATCCTCAGAACAAAGAGAATAAGAAAATTTTAAGCTCCATCTCCCCCGGGAAGCAGGGAAACAGGATCTAGCTTTGGCCAATAATGAATTTGTTTTCGGTACATATATATTTTTTCTCCCCTAGGATAGCCTAACCCTAACTAAGGGGGTTTTCAAAGAGATAGTACAGTATAACCAAATGAAAAATAGGGGCTTGCAGAGCGAGATACGTACGCTCTCCGTCGTTGGCGATACGCCACTTCCCAGTGAAAAATAAAATTAGCCGTCGCTTATCGTGTGGGCTCCAGTTCCTTCTACCACGGTTGTCAGATTTCGATCCGAAATTTCGTCGGATTGGTGACAGCTTCTGCTTTCATATCGGTGCCTGAATCTCTTTTTTCTTTTAAATGAACCGTATGTTTCCGTATCGAGTTCATGGCATGGGGGTAAGACTGAATCAGTGGTTAGCGGTGGCCGATCGAAGCGGTGCAACATGGGCGTACCGTGCATGGACATCCCTGCTAATGAAGGCATCCAACTTTCAATTTAATTTCAGAAGCAGTCTGTCTTGATGCAGTGGGAGGCCTCATTTCAATCATATCACTGAGTACCACACAAGTGGTACTCATAGATATGATAAATGGCTGAATTCTTTCAGCTTAAAAATATATATTGTTCTTTAATTAAAAAAAATTATATTGAATTCTTCCATTTAAAACCATTATTTTTTCAATAATTTCCTTCGCCTAAGGAATGCCATATGTAGAAATAAAGTGAACTACACTGAAATTATATTTGAAATGCCTTGGGACAGCTTGGCATGAACAGGTCCACAATTTTTGCGGAACTACAATCAGTCTTCGAAGTAGTTTGCAATTGCGCATTCCATGGATCGAATCTTGCTCAACATTTGTCATCTTGTATGATCGCTTTTAGTTATTCGGAATATAACTCTGTGTAATACACATCTCCCACAGATATGGGGGTGTAACTCAGTGGTAGAGTGTTCGCTTTGCATGCGAAAAGCCCCGGGTTCGATCCCCGGTACCTCCACACTCCTTTTATGTTTTCCAGAATCCTCTTTGTATGCATTCCCGATTAATGCGCCACATGGCTTAGGAAAACCTGCAGGTAATGGAAAACATGTCTTCTCCGTTATTATTTCCATCTAAATTCTCCCTTTTTCATACAGGCTGGAAAATGGATGACAGATTTTCACTCTTTTTCTGTTTTATATATTTTCCACGAATTCCAGAGATCTGAAGAATCAATTGGTTAAGGGATATGATCAGGGTTAATAGAAAAGCTACTGTTTGAGGACTCCCCATCCATAATATGTAGTTAGAGACAACTTCAGCCACTTGACAGTGCTGCAGACTGTAATCACAGAAGAACCGTCCCCTCCACCGGCTTCCGTTTTCGAAGGGACGCATTGAATTGACATTGTCAGGTATTTCAGACCTGTTGACCTTGCTTTACTTTCGCTACTTACTCAATCCCTCCTGGTCAACGGTCGCTCTCTCGGCCATAATCAATGCGGCTTTATTTTCTTTGATTTTTCAATGCCGAGGAAAGATTTCCTCATGATGGTAAAGAAAGATTTAACAGATTTAACTAGATTTAATGTTAAAGGCATGTTCGCATGTGAACATAAAATTACAGGTTATTTAAAATAAACGTTGCAGTCAAACTCTTGAAGGCTCGTTCATGCAAGCACTCCGCTATTCCAAATCGTTTGATCGTCTTCAAATTACATTCACTAATTTTAGAAGCTTCATAATTTACACGATAGCGAAGGGGAAATTTCCAATTCTCCTCTATTCCGAAAGGGGAATCGGAATTGGCAGAGGTCGATGCCGTTTGCAGTGTCATGCGGAGTCTAAAATGAGAGATTTATCAAATATATGGAATGAGTTTTCAGCGATGGAGATAGTACTGATTTGTAAATTGCTGTGATTGGCCATGGTCTTCTCATTCTAGGCATTTTTGCTGGACTACTATCAGTCTTCTAAATAAGATTTCAGAAGCAAATCACGAGTTCTATTTTTCTCAACATTTTTGCCATACCCGACGGCCCCTCGTATAAGTTGCCGTCGGCCAAAGATGAGATGATGAAAGATGTAAATAAAAATTGGTATACATAAGCAGCCAGTCCTGTTCTATTCCTCAAAATATTACCCATTCACATCGATGCACTTCTGCCATCTGAGGTGAGGGAGTATATGCCCCCTAGATAGAAGTCTATCTTGTTAACGAAGTCACTGGGTTGCAGCATTCTGAAGGTATTCACTTTCAATAAAATGCACTCCTCGATGCGCCATCATTGGTACAAACAAATGAAAATCCGAAGGTGCAAGATCTAGAACGGGGGTGCCCAAAGTGGATGTTCTCTAAGACACTTTGTGTGATTGCGGCCAGCGGGCCGCACTTTGAGCACCGCTGATCTAGAACATAAGGTGGGCGGGTCATTACAGTCCACTGAAAGGGGGCGATGAGCTGTGCAAACTTGAAAGCCGTATGTGGACGAGAATTGTCATGCAACAGGCACACAGTCCCTCATTTTGGGTCGCTTCTTCTAAATTCCTTCTTGGGTTCTTTGTGCAGTGTCTGGCGATATCTGTCGGCATTGATCGTTGTGTTTGATACCAAAAATTCAATTTGCATTTGACCATTCTTGTCCCAAAATATAAACTAAGGATGACCTTTTGGTGAACGCTTGAGATTTGAACTTCCTTGGTCTAGGAGATAAAGAATGCCGCTATTCCTTTGACTGTTTCTGCGTTCCAGATGGCAATAGTGCAGGGGGAATATTTTGAGGAATTGAGCAGGCCTGGCTGCTTATGTGTAGCATACCAATCTTTTTTTTATTAACATCCCACCATTAGTACTAATTAAAAAATGATGTGCGGAAACTTATTGATCGCCTCTTGCATTTAACCCAGATATGGCTGGCGTTCTATGTGGAGGACGCGTGTTCTATATTGGAGGTGCATCTATACATCTATACATACCGTCCTACATATACTATAGAACGCCAGAAATATCTGGGTTAAGAGTAGGAATGCAGTTCCTTCTTATAGAGAATGGGGGTGTAGCTCAGTGGTAGAGTGTTCGCTTCGCATGCGAAAAGTCCCGGGTTCAAACCCCGGTACCTCCACAACCTTTTTCCTCCCATGCTTTAAGACAGTGATGCACAAACCACGGAGACCTTTTTTGCGGCCCCTTGGAATGCCTCCGGTAAAAATCAATATGTATATGCCGTCTATTTCGGCTCATTTTCTCGAATGAGAACGAATGAGCAGAAATCTCAATTTGGCCCTCTAGGGAGAAAAGGTTTTGCACCACAGCTTCAAGACGTGGAAATATACTTTAAAGAAGCGTTGTCATGTGGAATTGAAAACGAGAAAGAATTTTCAAAACTTACGGAATGAGTTTACAGAGATGGCTGGAATGTCAATTATGATAATTGGGAGGATTTGCTGTGCTCGGCAAAAATTTCATTCCATTGCTTCCTGTTACAGCAATATTTCTTAACCGTAATCTAGTCATCTAATTTAGTCTAGCGAAAAATAGCATGGGTTTTACCTGGTCTAACGTTTTTACCATGTCTTCTGTCTAATATTCTAGCGTATGAAGTGGGAAACCAAATGTATGAGGGGGTGTAGCTCAGTGGTAGAGTGTTCGCTTCGCATGCGAAAAGTCCCGGGTTCAAACCCCGGCACCTCCACTGTTTTCCATTTCTCTGCAAGAAGAGAGAACATATTGCCAAAGATTTTCCTTTCAATTCCAATGGTCGAATATTGAGGATTTTCTTATTGGGGCATTATAATGCAAGAGCAATGCCGTCTAGGTTCAGGAACTAGCGTAAGAACGCACTCTATTCGTTCGAATGTCGCAAAAATATTTGATAGGGAGCTTAGGCCTAAACGCGGTGAAACATGTGGATAGGATATTTTGATAGCTACAATATCAGCGAAATTGAACATAATCTTTACTTCTACGGTTGAGAGGCCTGATAAGCCGAAGAATGCCAGCTCCATGACACACTCTACCCTCCGCGATGCCCCTTCACCACCATTCACCGTCTTCGGTACCATCATCATCTACTTCTGTAGGCGTTGGTAACTTTTGAGAAAAGAGCCATGCTAACAGCATTACACATTGCTAAAACGTTGCTGCAAAGGGTTCATGGAAAGTTGCTAATTTTTCATTTCTGTTCCAATGAAATGTTTCAACTATGTTGAAATTAGGCACTTTTTATCACAGTGTTAATGTAACATTCTCTTAAAACGTTGTAGTCATG